TATATATATATGAGTGAATAAAAAGGTAACCAGTTTGTTTGACGTACAGAGATACATTGTAGATACGTGCATGAAATAGAAGTCGTAGGTCTCTGGCTTAGGCATTGACAAGACGGATATTGGGCAAAAGCAATATAATCGTGTTCGCTTACTGAAAACAGTATACAAATACAATCTAAACCGGTTATGTTAACACTCTCGGTCGCCGGCAGAGCGCACTTTTATTTTTCAACTGGAAATCCCTCTCTAAATATGCATGCCAAGACGCTCAAATTTTTTTTTGTTTTTTTTTTTTTTATATTTCTATATACATATATCTGAGTGAACTCTCCCTGAGTAGCTGAAGGTCGTGCCGCAAGCGATACAGCAAATGAAGTAAATTTACATTTATGAACAGCGACTGTCTGGACTTATCGAAAACAGTCAATGCAATACAATTCAGTTCGATATAATACAAGAACAGGTTACGCACGCCAGTTTAGGGAATTACCAAACTCCGTCAATTGTATGAGTTCATTGGTGCTTTTATGAAAGAAAACATCAATTATTGATTATATACATTGTTACAATTGATGCATCAGACTAAAATGAAACTCAGGCAGCCCATCGAAGATATACTTTCTTTTATTTTGACGAGATGACTTTATCAATTTCATCACACTTTGTAAAGAACCAACTTCATGCTCTTTAAATCTATCAGCAGCAAATAAACAAGAATTGAATCAATATTATGATACTATTTCAATTTGTTATATAAATATATTTATTAATAGAATCGACAATCGAGTTTTTCTGTGGGTATAATTTTTCACATACCCGAAAGAGAAAAGCTTTTTATTAGTTTTAATAGGTTGAAGTTACTTTCATTTTCTCTAATTTATACATTTAGCTTTACTACAACTATACATTTTTTCATATTTTCAGCCATTTCACAGGAGCAGAATGCGCCGCCAATATTATACGTTAGAGAACGAAATTGGCGTATTTCAGAATCGGAAGAGGTGGGTCAGATTATTGATCGCGTTCGTGCCGAAGACGCTGACGGAGATGATCTCGTATTCGGAATTGAGCCGCGCTTCCTCCCGCTCATCGGCTCGAGTCAACAGACGAATACACAGGGCAAACTGCCCTTCCGTATAGATCGCAATACAGGTGTCGTCTATCTGAACGAGAGCTTATCTGGACGGGTAGGTGATACGCATAGCATAATAAATGTGTAAATTGAGCACTTACTGAGACAAATTCAATGTGAATAAAGGTTTTGTATTTTTGAAATATACATAGCAGCATCAGCAAGACTCAATTTCCCTTTTATAATTATTATCATTCATTCATAATTAAAAAACCCTTTTCAATAATAATCTATTTATGATAATATGATTTTTCTTTTAGGCCGGTGAAAATTTTCTGATATATATAACTGTGTCGGATGGACGCTACACAGCCAAAAATGAAGTGTTTATTAACATATTGGGAAGTCACGAAAGTGGAGGGTATCAGGGGTTTGGATCTCGTTCACCACCCTCGATATCGAACGTGGTAAAGAATATCTCCCAGTTCCTGCCATCATTTGATCAACTGCCCGGCGTGCAGTCCATTCGAAATGGCTTGCCAAACCGGAGGCCGACGTTGAATTTACCTCAAGGTTTTCCGACAAGCAACGCTGGCAACTTCGTACCACCTCCCTTTAAAAAGCTGTATCCTCCAATAACAGCTCCGGACTTGAGCCAAGACGAAGACAATAAAGTAGTTGACACAGAGCCGACACAGACGCCCGCCTCGGTCCAATCCACAAATAGCACTACTGCATCTACCCCGCGTAGTCGCACCAAGCTGACACCAATAGCTAATCACACCTCAGACAACTCTCTGCCCTCTGAGGCAGACTCTAAACCTGATCACAAGGACGACAGCGGTCAGAGCAAGCTGACTGATTTCAACTTAAAGTCCTTCGCAAGTCCAATTATTATTGGGCTTTGTTGCATTTTTGCAATATCTTTGACTATTCTCGCCTATGTGTGTCGCAGTCGCTTGTGCGCTATCAGCAAAACGATGAAGAAGTCCAAGGAGAAGGAAGAACTCTCCAAGAAGTCCAACCCTAGTCATCTCAGCAACACGCTAACCGACGACAGTCGCAATTCGATGGTCATGCAACAGTGGCAAGGACCTTCCGCCTTCGGGAACCGCTACGTGCCCTGGGAGCGGGATCAACAGCTACCAATAACGGTAACTCAATCAGGATAAATGGTTTCATCAATGTCTAATGTCTAATTCTAATTCTCATCGTATTGTATTGAATTGAATGTTTCAGTCATCATATCAACCACCAATGAATGCAGCGAACAGCATGGATGCTTCAATGTCAGCCTCCGCTGTAGGATCAACCGGGCTGACTAACGGTACGCCTAACGGACGTGCCACTCTATCCGAAGGTGGCCTCGGCACTGATCCCAACACAGATCATTGGGAGTTCCCAAGGCATCGACTGAAGTTCTTTAATATACTGGGTGAAGGTGCCTTCGGCCAAGTTTGGCGCTGCGAAGCAACTGGCTTGGCCGGTAAGTATTCAAATTTCAAATTACAAACAAATTTGCGAAAAAGGACAAATTCATCAAAATATATTGACTATCTGAAAACTTTTAAACTCTGTAGCAATGCGCACTTGTTACTCCATACTCAGATAGGTTATTGTATAGAAAGGAAAAGGTCAATGACTTTTTCATTTGCTTTAATTTCAACTTAATTTCAATATTTTAAGGTTTTAATCGAAGTTTTATATTAACAGGCTCCACGGAGGTCACTACGGTTGCAGTGAAAACTTTGAAGGAGAGTGCAGATGAAATCGAAAAAAAGGATTTGCTCTCCGAATTAGAGGTAAGCGCCTTAAATATCTAACCGACAAAAAAAATATAATTCCTGTTATACGTGTTGACGAATCCCTGACTGAATCCATGATCACAAAATCCAGTATTCATAACGGAACAAATGCACAAGCAGAAGCACGTGCATCGACATCCCCTACGGTGGCAATCCCGCATAGAGGACATAGAGAGTTCATTCATGATTTGACAGGGTTCAACTTCGCTGCTTCAGCGGTACTAGACTGAGTAATTTAATGGCCACATGGAGAGAAAAATCAGATGTTCTTAAAGTCCAGCATTGCTCCAATATACAGCTGTAATACTGGGGAAGTCTTGACTGGTTCTTCGCTATCCGAGTTTTTAGCTTAGAGTTGTAAACAAAATTCTCCTCCCTGTGTACTACTCCTTAAAAGCAAGAGCATATTTATATTTACACTTTGGTCTGGAGCACGTTTTCCGTTTTCAGATGTTCAGCTAATAAATAATTAAATAGATGTTTCGATTCAGTCTCGACTTACTTGAATATTTTTTTTGGCAGAGCCTTCTGACAGAAACTAATTTCTGCCCATTTACATATGATTAACATTATTTTTAGCCATACGCATCTGTGTGCATGCATATGCATCTATATATGTATTTAATTGAATTTGACTTGTATTGGTTTATTCACCTTTTTGCATCATTTAAACTTATTATTAGTGTGTGAGGAGCGCACGTTATCTGCATTTCATATGCACTTGTCAAATTATTTATTACACTCATGCTGACAATTTTCTTATGCTATGGAAGCCCATTGAACCGCACTACAACGATGATTCGGTCGGGAATAGAGAACAGTATCAGGAAACACTTTTGCGGACTGTCGTCCGCCCGCAGACATTACGAACTAGGCACAAGGTTTTGTTATCGCATTAAACATTTTGCATATGAATCAGTGGAAACCCGGGGTACACAACGAAGCAAAGACGTGAGCCAAAAGCTTCCGCTCTGACGCCTGGGCACAAACTAATTCCTGTTGCTGCGTACAATAATTAGTGTGACTGAGTGCGCTGGGATGTACAATTGTGATTGACTCTCTCTAACTCTGCGACTCTCTGATACTCCGACAATGCGGCAGACCTGCGCACTGAAGCTCTTCGGAGTCCTGCCCAGCTGGTCGAAGAGGCTGTAGATAATTCGGAAAGCTCGTTAGACGTTCATTGAGTCGGATATCAGCATTCGATAGCATTGATTTGCCGGCTATCTTGAGTTGTTCATGATACAATGCTCATTATTCGTTTCGACATTAACAACAGGTGATAGATATGTATACATATGTATCGCCTAATGGGAAAAAATGTTAATATTAGCTTTATTTTATACCTGTGAACTTATGTTTTGCTTTACTATTACAGGTGATGAAAAGTCTGGAGCCTCACGTAAATGTCGTTCAGCTTTTGGGTTGCTGCACAGAAAAGGATCCAACCTTTGTAATACTCGAGTACGTTAGTCGAGGAAAACTGCAAACATATTTGAGAAACTCACGAGCAGAAAGGTGAGCTAATTTAATAATTACTAATTAATTTAGTAGACTATCGCTATAATTGTTTTTTTTTTTTTTTTTTTTTTTGGAATATATTATATTACAGGCATTATGGAAATACTCACGGAAAATCAAATGTGTTGACATCAGGCGACTTAACTTCGTTCATGTATCAAGTTGCCAGAGGAATGGATTATTTAACGTCGCGCGGGGTAAGTAATTCAGCATTTACTTCAATTCAGTTGAAATTACTTATGGTAAAGACGAGCTCCTACCCCATATTTTATTATAAGTCTATATAATTAATACAAATTTGTTACAGATCATCCATCGTGACCTTGCTGCGCGCAATATTTTGATCACTGATGATCATACATGCAAAGTCGCTGATTTTGGATTTGCGAGAGATATCGTCACATCTAAGATATACGAGCGAAAGAGCGAAGGAAAACTTCCAATTAGGTAAATAATATTCATTTGACATAAGTTTTCCAAATAGCCCCTAACCACAGTATCAATAAGAATCAATTCCTGACTGCTGAATAGGTTCTGTGGCTGGGACTAGGGCCAATTGTCACTTCTATGTAGAACACAGTAACTAAGTTAATTAACGTAAGGGACAATAATTTGTTATTGAAATATTTACATACGTTTTGCACAAGCAGAAAAATAATTATCAGTACGCCCAAAATGATTACGAAACTTCTTTGCAGTACATATTAGTGATATATTTTTTTATATATTTCGACACTTAAGCTAAACTTACAAACTGATTAATTAGTACTACTGAAATTGTGAATGTATACCAATATTTTTGGTTCGTTTTAGATGGATGGCTACAGAATCACTTTATGATAACATATTTTCAATAAAATCGGATATCTGGAGCTTTGGTATATTAATGTGGGAGATCGTTACATTGGGATCCACACCTTATCCAGGTATATCCGCTGCCGATGTAATGCGCAAGGTAAATTAAAACATCACACTTTGCTGTATATCCAAAGCGATATTCATTTACCTTTCCCTTTTTCAGGTTCGAGACGGATATCGTCTTGAAAAACCAGAGCATTGTCGAAGGGAGCTCTACAATATTATGTACTACTGTTGGTCCCAAGATGCCAATGAGCGACCAACGTTTGCAGAGATAATAAAGATGCTCGACAAATTACTGCACACTGAAATGGACTATATCGAATTGGAACGTTTTCCAGACCATAACTATTATAATATTGTGAATCTCAGTGGGGAAAAATTATAAGTCACAATGTTTTATTTACAAAAAAAAGAAAGAAAAGGAAAATGGAGGGTTCGATCACGCACTGCCACGAAGAGCTTTATTTATGTAAACTAAGTAGGAAAGTATAGTGCCTTCACTATATTTTTGCTAGAATATTTATTGTATAAACTTTTTATTTTTATAATCATTATATTTATTATTATCATTCAATGTAAAATAACAATCTGGTTATCGTTAATAAAAAAATTATATAATACAGAATTTCTGCCCTAATGGTTGGATGTGTAAGACAATTTTCCTATCGAATATTTTACTTTCAAATTAAAAATTTTTATTTTATTTTATAGTTTCTGCTTGGATCATGAACATTCGCTGATATTAATAATATATCATTTGTATCCAATTTTGCGTACTATGAATAGAGAAATAGTATGCATAACTATCAAAGCCTAAGCCCAATAACTTAAGCAATAATGGAAAATGGGCACGAGAGATCGTTATATAGCTTGACACTCAAAAGTTCATAATTATTTTATGCGAAAATCGTCTATAATGTAAATCAAGTCAATCGGAAACCTTAGAGTTTAAAATAATTACAAATAATACATTCAGGGCACTTGGACACTGAAAGAGTCACATGATAAATGTACTATAATTTATGAACTAAAAAAAGTTCGACTTCGACTTTTCTTAGACACTCTGGCTAAAACTGAGACAGGTATACATACGTATATATTCTTGATGAAGATGACGAGCTTATACATATTAGCCGTACGTAGAATTCTATAAAATATATACATATATAATAATACATATTTTATTTAGCTCTTATGCTATATGATTAGAGATAGACTCTTGTATCTCGGATAATAAGACCTTCGTATATATTTTACGTATGTCGAACTATTAAAATTATGATATACAGAAGAATCCGGTTACAACGACTCCGCTTATAGCGTTCATAAGGTTAATGCGATAAAATTCTGGTCCCTGGACAAGCTTATACCTTTACGGCGGTCCATTGAGCGTCGTTAAAACCGGATTCTACTTTATACACATTAATATATAAAATATATCTCATATTTAAATGACTATAGCCTATATACGTCCTCTAATCCTATATCCAACAAATTCACAGTCGCGACATATTAAGTGCTTAGCAAACACAGGAACAGGAACCGGCACGGGCGCAGGCGCAGGCGCAGGCTGGCAATGTTGGCTGAAAAGTCAGACGTTAAAGTTGCCGTCGCAATAACATGCGGATGTCTCTGTGTTTGTATATCAGCAAGAGAACCACGTTCCCATTCTCTGATCATCAGCTGAGGGCAGTCAGTCGGCTCCGATCTTAAGTCTTGTCCTAGTAATGTTTGCTGATTGTCTGCCTAATTCGGTTGAGAGAATGTTTAACCATTCATTCATTATTCATTTTAACTTATATTTAGTTTGCCCAACAAAGATAAGATTTGCCCAGATGAAGACGAGTAATATATATTCGAATAGATTAATAAATATTCGTATACTCGCCACCACCTTGAAAACGACAGCTATTACAACGCCAGTTGCTATTACCACACATGGGTTTGATTAGAGACTTTCATTAGAGGTGCGGATGAGCATTGTGTTGGGCGCCGGCTAATTGCATACTGGCCTCGCGTGTCGCCCTGCACCGCAAATCGCATTTACATTATTTATATTACATCTATAAAACCCAGATTCAACCATAATTAGCGACACATTTGTCGACAGAGATCAAGACAAAGATCGGCGCAGTTGATCCTTTTATGGCTGGCGCTAGGATTTATATGCACTTCCTTTCACATTTAAAGGGCGAACAACTACCTGTATGACCCACTTACATTCATGAAACGGTGCATTCCGACGCATTCCGGCGCACCGATGTCGCCCACCAGTGATCAGCCTCGTCATCGTCCGCGTCCGCGTCCGAGTCCGAGTTCGAGTCCGAGTACGCGTAAGCCCGGGGCTGTTGAATTGCGTTTTGATTCTCGCTCGCGCAGCCGTCGCCGACTGTTGTGCGGCGGTTGGGCTACCTGAGTTTGGTCTGTGTTTGGAGTGGAAAAGCGCTAATTCAACTGATGTATGGGTTGTCCTTTAATTGCCAGTGCATGCATTAAGTGTTACTAGGAAAGACAAGGACGGCAGCAGTCGATCACCACTCTCTCCCGATCGCCGATAGCCGCTCTGACTCGATCGGCTGCGGCCTTTGTTTATATGCCCGAGTAGTATCCGTAGGTATTTAAATGACATTATGTGATGTGACCCGATGACTTCTACCGCAACAGAATGGTATTTAAGCAAGCTGCGGACAGAATTCTGAGTCATTTGGAATTGGACATCGTAAGAAACAAGACGTGCACCAAAGATGAATACGAGCATACAATTTCTAGTGCTTCTGGTGGTAGTGCCTCTGAACATATCCAACGGACTTTACATTCGAAATAACAAAGCTGCCCCAGCAAAGGCCGATGCTTTAGCCGACAGTCGCAACGACGAATGGGGAGTTTTTCAAAATCGACTCGGATTATCCCAAGAAAAAGGTAATATAGAGCTAACTCCTATCCTAATGCACAACAATTGAATAACACTGTCCTCCTTTTGTTTCAATTTATAGTTGAGCTTTTGAAGTCACAAAAGGATCAGCTGGGAACAAAGCAACTGCTGCACCGTTTTATTTTGGAAAACCCAAAATATTTAAGTGCTAAGACGACGAATAGCAGAAAGAAGTCAAAGTCAAGTAAATTGGCTTTCAACCGTCTCTTTCGAGCTTTGGCAAAGAACATGAAGAGTGCAAAGAGCACGTTCAAGACATCCTTACAATTCGAGATGTCGGATAGACCTACGAAGCCCCTAAAGCGGACTCGCCGAAAGATTTCTGTGAAGATGATGACGGACTTGTCCACGGAACGGGTGGACCAACTGCTGAAAATGTTCTACCAGAAACACAACATCGAAGAGCCCAACTTTGACAGCGATGCAGCGGATCAGCATACTGATACCGATAATGGGGATTACAGCGACATAGCTTCGGATATATCGCCGCACACATCTATGGATAGGGAGAACGACTCTGACTACGAGTATGATCTGTTCGATGATGAGGGCAACGCAGATCTCATTGCCAAGTCCCATCAAAACTCGGAATACGGTTCTTTCCAAGACCTCATCCTTCAGGCGAAGCAAAAGCAGTGGGAGCTGGAAAGCGAGGAGAACAAGTTGCATAGTCCTCCGGACAATGACCATTTTATATAATTGAATGGGAAAATTAATTCAAATTACCTTCAACTGAGTGGTCTGAGGGCTGTGCAATCGCTGTTCATATGCAGGCATAGAACACAAACTTAATTTAATAATAATATATTATAGGTCTATTTATATACATAAATTGATGTTCAAGAAGGAAGTCCATCTTTGTCAACAGCTTTACAGACTTACAGCTTTAAGTGTAGCTCTCCAAGTATTTAAGTAAACTTTTTTTGTGTATAAGCATAAATATAAAATATTATGAAAACTTATAAAATAATAAAAAGTTACATCTTATTGAAACCATTTGTATTTCATATTGAAAACATACTCATAATCTCATAACATATTCTAATATGCACCATGATATTGCCGTACATTCTAAATTAGCGCCATCTAGCGCATGACAGCGGAAAAACTTGCAAACACATTTATTGCAATTTAACGAATCTAAGGTTGATCAACGTCACAGACCGGTTACAAGAAATCCTAGAAACAAAATAAATGTACCTTTTCAAAAACAAAATTATTTATGATATTTACATATTCCAAATTGATTATTATTAGTTATATTAATCAAAAATATACATATATACAAAACTTAAGCTACTCTTGAATGCTCTCCTTAAGCAATCGAATATTGAATATCGTTTACCGATTGAGATTTAACACAGTTTCGACTTTTTATCGCGCCCTCTATGGCCAATTTCACAACCCTTCAATCTCTCTAATTCGACAACGAACTAAATCATCAAAAACTGTTGCGGCTCATGGTCAACACGTTGTAGTTTTGGTTAAGTTGGTTTCTAATCATTTTAATCTTATATTTTCGAGGGTAACATTATCAAGTAGTGTATTTTCAAACATAAATATATCACCCACACTAGGACATTTTCGCAAAATCCTGTTTTAAACATCTATGCTAATTTGATATATCAGCGAGTTTGAAAACTAATTCCAAAAGCGCCCTCTAGTAGTCACATATATATTCTGTTTGTTCTGAAATTAAGTCATTTGTCTAATGCCTCTAAAACTGTTTCAGTGCTGCCAATGTGAGGAATAATCGTTTGCCACAAATTTGTGTAGATGGCGCCAATTGTAGTTTGTAAGATTAATCCGTAGAGCGCCACCTATTGTATGTTTGTAAAGCTATCAAAATTTCAGTGCTGCCAATATTGATTAAATAGTTGACGTTTCTTTACTTAAAATTATTACTACCATTCTTCAAATTATATGCGCTCTGAATCTTTGAACTGAAAAATGGACCGAGTTAAATGTTTTGCAGTTTCTATTTTTGTTTAATTATTATAAGCACGGATATCCGCCAAACTATCCGCCAAAATATTCCAGTAGTTTGAAAACTTCAGTTCTGTTATTTCTATTTAGAAACGCCAGTGCTTGAAATGTTTCTGTTGTAGGGAGTACATTAATATTACTTTGCGAGAACAGTCAAAATAGTGTGAAAACAAAATTTATTCATTCCACTCTTAGGTCGTATCAACATTTTGAAAGGGAAAACGTTGTTATAGCAACAGAGCAAAAATTTATTGCGAACAGAAAACACAAAACGGAACAGGAATAAAAACAAGTTAAATATGCCGAAGCCAGCAAGTTCTAAGTACAAGAAATTCTCGGCGGTCATAGACCCAAACAAACACGCGGCCAAGTTAAAAGAAATCGAAGACCGGCACGCGGAAGAGTTGGACATGTTCTTTGGATACGAAGAAGAGGGCGAAGAGGAATGCAGTGAATTCGAAAATGTAGAGAGCGAATTCAGTTTATCCGAAGGCGACCCCGCCCTACAAATCGGAAGGATTGATCTCTCGTTTCCCGAGACAAGGGAAGAGTTCCAGGACAGTCCCCAATGCTACCCGCCATCTTACTACACCCTGTCCCCGAAAGAAAGACTCCTCCTGCTCTATGCCGAAAACTTCCGCAAGCAGTTTGTACTAAACTATCCCCGCCGTCGTGCTTTGGTGCTTGCCCTGCCTAACGAATGCAAAGTACAGGTAATTGCGAGTCCCTAATAGCTCACTGATCAGACGTAATACTGTTTATTGAGAGCATCCATTCATCCATTCGAATACAGAAATTCGTATGTACCACAATAAGGCCGACTGCGTTCGCCTACCCAGAGCTGATATCAAGTGTTGAGGAAATTTCAAAGTTTGTTGCTGACTTTGTTCAATATGAGCCAATGGACGATGAAACTAATTTGGTAAGCTTACTCCACTCACTACTAAGCTGTGTTTCAGTTCTAATAGAAAAGACGATCAATCTGCATAGCTGTAGAACTAGGTTAGTAATCCTAACGGTGAACACATAAAGGTTCACATGTATCCTCTAAACTACCAGAAAGGGCAAAATCCTTATTATCAACAGTTTTAGAAGGGATAAGTAAAGCACATACCTTTAATATATGCCTGTTAAAGACCACAAAATAGAAGTTACCTCTCCGTTTCGATTCCATGTATCTCAGAACAAATGAAGCAAGACGGAGCCTGAAGGATAATTTTCTAAGAGTTTATAATGAAAATATATACCGTTTAGAATACCATATAGGATCAGTTTATTATGCTGAAGACCCAGCCTAAAAACACGATTTAAACTCAGTAAACTGGATAAGGGAAACTGAGTTCATTCGATACGCAGAAGGAAGAGGATTTCAATTTATTTTTAATACTCATTCATTGTTGAATGTTTGGCCGACTATATATATATTTTATAGATCAGCTGCTGCAAGTAGGGCAAAATATTTCAGCGTTTAAATTGGATTTTAAGTCTACATCACATAAACCCATAGTAGACATCGATTGAATCAATTTGATTTATTCTTATATTTATATCAGGAATTCTTTGCGAATGTTTTTTCTAGACTTCGAATCTTTTCAAATAGTAAATGACTGAAATAACCTTTCAACACTATTAGTGATTCGGCTTTATCCGTAAATAGTCTCTATTGACGATGTACTATTTTAGCGATTTTGACTCGTAATTAATCCATTTAAGGCCAAGTCCCGATTTAATTTTGAATGAATGAATCTTTCGATATGTTAAATTCTCAGCATTTCAGCATTTCAAAGCAAGGTCTTGACAGCCTTCTTCAAACAGTTTATAGCAATCAAATATCAAATAAATCTGTTGCTATGGGACTAGCAGATACTCCGAACGATCTGTGTGTTTTATACACCTTCAAGAAAGGGAAATAGAAGATTTGTTTTGACCGTCAATATGAATGCAAACCACTTCGCCGCTTTTTAAGTAGAGACTTCAAATTTGAAACACATTCTCGAGAGATTAAACATTTTTCCGACCACTAGGGGCGTGATTAATCTCAAAATGTATTTGGCAACAGTACGAGAGTCACTGTAAAGATCCTCTGTGGGCGTGCCAAATTGGATCTGATTATAAAGTGATTTTTACCCGTATATGTTTTGGCCACAATTGATGGCAAAAACTTTTGTTTGTCAATGCAAGGCCAACTAGATAAGGTGGATATATGTGTCTAGGCCCGTTGGAGGCGTGGCAAACCGCAAAAATGTATATCTCTTCAGGTATTATACCTAGAAAGTTTGACATTTTTAATGAAACTTTGTTTTTTTCTTGCTACAGTCGACTCTCGTTATTTCGAAATTGAAGAGACTCTTGAAATACTACGAATTATCGAATTTTTGAAATATTAAATGGTTCGAAATTTCAAGAATTTTAATTTAGCTACTGATATTTTACATATTAGTAATGTATGTTCAAATTAATTAATATTTGAAAACAACTCATTTATACGGGCTTGCTTCGAAGCACATCAATCATTTTTTAAAGGAGAAAAAGTGCCTGATATGCAGTGTCATCAGTGTCATTATTATGGGTAGGAGAGTACTGAGTGGAATCTTAAATTCTTTTGCGACATCGCTTTTCTTCCCACCTCAACTCCACTACTTTTTCTACAACTACTTTTTCTTCTTTTCAGCAATCGTCAAACTTTTAGGAGTAATATTTAATAAAAAATGGTAATCTTTATACTAACAAAGCTATTCGTATGGAAGCGAGCATCAAAATGTGCCTATTTTATGCATAACACGCAACCATGCACAGTAAAGGTAGTTTTAAAAGAGTTCCAAAATTCAAATTCAGAGCTTTTATTATTGGATTGTTGAGTGTTTGACCTAGGAGTACGAATTACCGCGTCTTAGCAATAAGTTTTTAGTTCGAATTACTGAGTGCATAAAAATGTATGGACATAATTCGAAATATAAAGAGATTTTGTAGGGGACTCATGCTAACTTTGAATTAATGAGAGGCTCAAAATATTATCGCATATTAATATAACGAGAGTCGACTGTTTATACCCTGAACCCATTGAAAATGGGAAATCAGGGTATAATGGTTTTGTGAAAAAGTATGTAACGGGCAGAAGGAGGCGTGGCAGACCCCACA